CCTGCCCAACGCAGACCCACAGGCACCCCCCTCCGCCCCCCGGGGATGCGTGCAGTGGCAGGAGCCGCCCCACCCCACGAGCTGAGCCTCCATCTCCCTACCCCCCATGGGCAGCGCCTGCCCCCGCTCCCTCCTTCCCTCACTGGGGGGGGGAGGGGCGCAGGGCATTGATCTGCGCCCCCCCCATGCCCCTTCCACCACAACAGACTTACCACCTGGAGGCAGCTGCATCAGATATCAAACTGGTATTGGCCGATATGCCTTCTTAAATATTGGCTATCGGTATCAGCCCCCAAAATCTCTATCGGTGCACCCCTACTTAAGTCTGATTCTCAACCAGGGTGCTGCCAGATCTTTTGAAGGATGCCATGAGGTAAGAGGAAATAAGCAAGGTGTGAGGAGATAAACAGATTAACTAAGTAGATAACATAGGCTCAGGCTTGTCCTGTCTGGAGGACCCCCATGCCCATGGTCAGGCCGCTCTGCAAGGAGTTAAGTACTGTAATATACAAATTAGTTTTGAAAGGTGGTTCTGCTTAGTTCAGAAAAGGTATGGAGGGGTGCCTCAAATACAGTGAGAGGTGCCTCAAGCCCAAAAACATTGAAAACCACTGATCTAAATAAAAACAACATCTAAGAGTCACAATGGCCGTGGCCAGATGAGCATGGTCATGCGGTATGTGGCACTGCAGACATATCTGCAACGCCACATACCATATATTCTGTTGTTCTCTATGGAGGCTTTTTCTACAGGAGGATTTTTTGACCCCTGGATATCCAGGGGTCAAAAAGTCAGTGAAAAAAAAGACACGGAGTGGAAAACACTGCTGAAGCCCTGGGAGGCCCCCAAGATGCCGGTAAGACTGCTAGAGCCAGCCCACTGCTGGCCCCAAACTCCCCTACCCCACCCTGGGTAACCTCCTGCATGCCAGAACATACATGGCACAGGCGTTCCCTGGGGACAACTAGTGGAGGCATAAGGTGGGCTGATGCTAGTTGTCCCCAGGGATCCAAATATCCACACATGTCTGGATGCAGCCAATGGTGCTAGACATCAAAGTTTTAAAATCTGATTAAAAAGAGAAAAAGATGTACATTTGCTCTCATATTTTTTCTTGAAATTAAGCTGTTAGACTTTGATTATGAGATCAACACACTTTGTAAATTAAGAATGAAACCTAATTTATGCAAACTGTTATGTAAAAGTGTCTTGATTTTTTTAAAAAATATTGTAGGAAAACATCTTTTTAATCTCCTAATTTTTCCCCTACTGATTATTGTATATATATTTTCTGGTGTATTGTTTTCCTTCTTTATTGTCTGTATTACATTATTTGTTCTACATTAAAGTACTTGCTTTGGACAGATGTCATTCAAGTGCCATTCAGGAACTACAGTATCTTAATATTTATTTGATGCTGGTACACCCACAATGTTGTGCTGTGATGCATTCTTATTTAAATTGCTTTAGTTTTTAAATGTTATTCTCAGTTCCTTTCACAACTTACAGGAAAAATTGTTTTTGAAAGGAAAAAAAATGGTGGGGGAGGATGTTATTGTCATACTCCTATAAGATTATTACCAAATAGGAAAGGTAATATACTACTTTAGGAAGGAACAGGAGACTTGATTCACTTGTAAATTGGTTATCCAATGAATATATGTACAGCGATTTGACATCAATAGCCTGAATGTCTTTGTCAATAGTATGTCTGATGCCAGAGAGTTTAAAAATCTGAAATCATTAAAAAATTGATACATGAAATAAAAGAATACATCAGAAGTAAACTGAATATAGAGAAGAGATAAATATTTTCAACCGGTAAATACACAGAATCTAAACAGACCAATCGTTTATATAAAATAAAACCGTCTTTCCTATTCACACTTAATTGGAAGGTTCCAATCTGGATTGACTTCAGAGATGCAATAAACAATGATATGGGAAAATGCTTGCATACATCAACATCACCTTAACTGCGTCTTATGGAACACCACAAGAGGGGCAGTGAATAGAATGTGTTTAAAATTTGGTTCCATTTATCTAACCAGGGACCATAACACTAAAAAGTTTTAATCTTCACCTTTTACATCATAGTCGTACATGGTACCACTGTTTGTAGAGTTAAAATCCTTATAACATTTTCACTTCTTAGTTACTAATATACACTCTCAACCGTATTTTACCTCCACCTTAATGAATGATTTTTGTTCCAGAAAATATACAGTACACACTTTTTCTCTATACAAACTTCCATAGATCTTGACTAGTCAATAAGTAAAGAAGATATATAAAGACTGGAATGTGGCTCATAGGTTGCCCATATGATTCATCAGTAAGTTGTAAATTTCTTTAAGAAAACACAATTTGGAGCCAAAAGGAATAAAAGGTAACATCCTGGTGAACACAACAGGGTAAATATATTTTGGTGATCAATTCTAGATAAGTTCCCAGAGTTTGAAATTCAAGAGTAATCTACTGTGCTAAAAAGAACTCCTGACAACAACCAGAACTTGTTGAAAATACCTGTTCATAATACTTTTACTTTAAGAGCTCTGAAATAATATAAGAGAATTATCATTATAATAAAAAGAGCAAAGTAAAAAATTGAAAACTGTCAACAAACAATGGCACATCATGAAAAATCTTAATGCTAGATGCCATGAGCCCTCATATTGTACCTCAGGGCATAAGTACTTACTAATTTACTTATGAATATTTTCCTTCATTTAACACAGTCCAACACTTGGACTTGCTAGATGAATTTACCCATTGGAAAACAATTATAGAAAGCTCAGATTATTTGTGATTTTGATAGAGCCAAGTTGCAAAAATATAGCTAATCCTATAAAAGGAGGATGTACTGATTATGATATGCTAGTTATGTTATTTTATTAAACTAACCAAGTTGTTTCCATATGAAAGTAAGTATTTTGCAACTAGAAGAGTGCAAGATGAACAGGAAGCAGGAAATTACTAAGAACAAACAATAGAAAATCTAGCTGTAGCTTCTAAATGAGGGATCAGTGAGCATAAAGGGAATGCCTATTTTCAGCATAAATGTTTCCTTACAGTAGTAACAAAAGCACAAATTCCATAACACACATTTATGTGTCTTTCTTACCATGACATGTAAATATCCTTCTGGTTAGAATGAGAGACCTGCTCCAATGCAGCTGGAGCCTCTAGTGGCTACATTTACAAAACAGACAATGCCCCATGAAGTCAGGATATCATGGGTCATAAATAGTATTTTAATATGACAGGGCAATATTGAATTAAAACAATGAAATTTTCAGAGGCAGAAAAATATAATGGAAAAACAACCTCTGATACAACCAAAACTAACATGAAAATTATCTACCATTCTTCTGAAGATGCTTTGCATTGCAAAAGTAGATTTACATGTTCTTAACAAAAAGAAAGGCACTTACCCGGAAAAGCAATCCTGCCATGCTTTGAGCAAACGTGTCCTTTATTTGGTTATCCTTTGGCCTCTGCATGACTGCTTCTGTAATTCTCAGGAGAATCTGTAACATCTGTTCCCTGGTATCAAAGTAAAATCTCACATTTTAGTTGCATGTTTTATTAATTATACTTGTTCATTTGTCAGTGGGAGAAATGTACCAAGTCTCAAACTGAAAACATGATTATGTTCAAATATACTTTGCAGATGACCTTCAAGACAGAGATATAGAGATGGAGGTAGAAAGTTGGGGGAAAAGTTAACCTTTGATATTTTACAAGGCGACTCAGAAGGGGAAATAACCAAAACCCCAAAGTCACAGGCAAGAAAGACATCTCTAACTAGTTCAATAGTAGGTCCACACACAGACCACTGGAAGTGCCTAAGGAGAACTTAAGGATGCCCTTAGTTACATACCAGGGACACTGTAAGACTTTAGAACTGAGTGTCTATAGAAGCAGTCAAAATTGTGTATTGTTTTTGGATGCAAAATATTTAATTTTATTAAATAATACAAGAAAGCTACCTACCAGTAACTGGAGTTCTTTGACATGTATTGTCCACGTAAATATTGCCACAGGTAAATATACTCACCCGTGAGGCTTTGATAAGATACAAGTATTGCTAAGGTGTGAAAATCAAGTATGGTCCAGTCCCAACCCTTCTCCCCCAGGGACTGAGGGGATAAAGGGAAATGAACACTTTTCACTCAGTTTCCTCTCAGTAACAAAACTTCTAGTACTTACGACAGAGGAGAAAAAGGAGGGCAGGGTTTGAATACGTACGTGGATAATACGTGTCAAAGAACTCCAATTACTGATAATTACCAACCTTTTCTTGCCTGAATAATTCACCTAGATGACCTCAATATAGTGCCCACACATACCTAGAAGTGGGCCTGAGTTTCCTAGGAAAACAGCAACTGAAAGACTGTCATAGTAAAAGCAGCACCATTCCTTGAGGCCTCCACAATAGCCTAATGTTTGTAGTGATGTTCAACAGGCTACCTACCTCCTATTCTCACTGAGGCACCAAGTCTTGCAACACACTCAAATGCAAGTTGTGCCCCCCTGCACATCAATACAAACTCACATTATCACTGGACCAACTCACATGGATTATAACATCTGCGGTTCACTCATTTGCACCTCTATCAACATCATATATGCTATCACTACTTACAATGCCCCTCTTCCCAGGTTTGACAGACAGGGCAATCCCCATGTTAAAGAATGAGGTAACACTGGTCTGACATTGAGGCCAAAAAACACAGAAAAGCCTAGTGCAGAACATTTTAACATTCCTAGACTTTTCATTGATGACCTAAGAGTACCTGTTTTTAAACAACAGTACTTTAAAAGCTGACTTGACCAGAAAATTGCAAAACAAGAAATCATCCACAGATTTGGTTTTGTTAATTCTGGTCTAAACAGGGACTACAGATTCTTACTCCATTAGCATGATTAACTTTTTGGACCCCTTTGTTCCGTTTGGTTTATCATCTGTTTTGCCTTTCTCAGCACTGCCTTCCCTCTTCTGTCTTCCCCACCTCCCTCACTTTTCTGCCTTCTGCATTCAACTCTCTCTCTATTTGATACCCTTCTCTGTGCATGTCCTTTCATAGTATCTGATGAAGTGAGCTCTTGCACACAAATGCTTATACATCTCGGATTCAGTCAATAAGGTACATTTCTACTCTGTCTTTGCTCTGACTTCAGACTAACACAGTTAACAATCTCTGTCTGTATTGATACAGGTCTGTATTGAGCTCCAGGTGGCCTTGCTATAGATGCTGCTTATAAATACACTGCAAAGAAAGGCTACAGACATAACCTAGACCAGGGGTTGTCAACCAGGGGTACATCTACCCCATGCTGCCGCCTCCCAGGAGCAGGGTGAAGGCAGCAGCGCCCCTCTGTGGGCTGCACAGGTGCCGCCCAGCCGGCCGGACACAGGGGGGGTGGGGAGATAGCATGTGGCAGCTCCTGCTGCCACCCACCAACCCACACTGCCACCACTCTGCAACTAGCCGCATGCCGCCTCCCACATCCGGCTGCCGGGGGTACACTTATTAAAAAAGGTTGAAAACCCCTGGCCTAGGGTGACAGCCCCCCAGAACCCAAGGAGCCTGCAACTCAGCAGTCCTAGAGCCCCCATACACTGCATGTGCTGGGGGGAGGGGACAGGCAAGGAGGGAGGGGCTGGCAGGTCAGCAGGGTGCCGATGAGGTCTGTGGTCCTTAGCCACTCCAAAATTGGACACCCCTGGCCTAGACCTTCAAGGAAGCAGGCTTGACCTCACTGATGATGACCCTACTTCATAACAGTTTCATAACAGAGTTTAACAGAGCTTAAAGATTCAACTTGGCAATCTTTGAACCAAAACTGCCATGTGTTTAGATTTCTGTACTATTGCTATAAAAAGCTTTGTAAACTCACAAAAAGTCTTAGTCATGTGCAAATAATCAGCTAAAGCTTTTCTGGCATTGAAGGACTGTAAAAGATAGTATACAGAGGATCTGCTGGGACAGCTCAGATCTTACTCGCTCTCCTTGCTACCAATTGCCACTAGAAATGCCACTTTCATTGACAAAGAGTAAAAAGCATATTGCACATATCAGGATAACCCACATACAGTCTTAGCATACCTTATGGAATACTCATAGTAACAGGCACACTGGAGTGGGGGAAAGATAGGGGGAGTTGTACAGAAATCATCCTAAACAAACCAGGGTGGGGGAAAGAGAGTAGACTGGAACTGGAGTCTGGGAGAGAGAAATTCTGGTTGTAATTCTGAGGGGAACACTGGATTGGTTGTGTATGAAGAACTGGAGACTTGGATCGAGGAGCTGGCAATGGAAATGGAAGTGCTGAGGAGGTGGAGGGTGGACAGGAAACAATGGCATTAGATGGGAAGAATGTGGTAGGAATGGAAACAAGAACAGCTGAGCAAGGGAAATAGGCCTTGGAACCAATCACAGAATGCTGAGATGTGATCTGAATGGGCAAGGAGCTTGGGACTAGAAAAAGAATGGTGCAGGCAAAGACAGCTGAACTGGAATTAGGAGGAAGAGTGGAGAAAACAACGGACAAGAACAGTTTGGAGGGGCTGAGAGTGAGGAGGATAGAATATGGGAGAAGAGACGGGAGACTTTTTTATAACCAGGGGCAGAACCTGTTTCTTAGCATCTCACTATTTCTCCACTGCTAGCAGGTATCTGCTGTCACAGTGAGCGTCTTTCCTCACATTAATACTATTTTAGGATTTCCTACTCCTTGGAGGAAAATCCAAGGTTGCTTGATTTTGCAGCCCTAATATACTGAGTGATGCAAAATATTTGCACACAATGACGTTTCTATCTGTAACATATCTTCTAAATTTCATATGCAGTGAATTCCAAAATTTAAAGGAAATGTGCTACCCTTTAGGGATTAGAACTCTTATTAGTTTTGGTGAAAGTCAGAAAAAATAAGAAGCAAAAAGGGGGAGCATGGAGAGCCCCAGGCACCTGGTTAGCAGAACCAGCAGCTCCAACCAACTCTGTAACTGTTTTCAGACGGATCAACTCATTAAAGCTTTCCAGCACAATCCAGAGCTCTTGGGTATCCTCATAATCAGGAATCCAGGTTTTCTGTTCACCACAGAAAAATGCAGTAAAACCCAGATTTTCTCATTTTAAGGAGAAAAACACAAATTTTCTTTAAAGGAGAAAAATGCGGGGAAAAGGCGGGTTTGCCCTTGCAGGCTGGCAGAATTCCAGGGCTACCACCCCCACTGCTTCTGGGTGGGCACAGGGCACCTTGCCATGACGGCATGGGGCTCCCTGCAGTCATGGGTGACTGGTGCCTCTTCGCTCTGGGGGTCTCCCAGTGACCAATTGCTGATGGGGGCAGAGGGGGGGTCCCCCAGCAGTGGATTGCCGACCGGAGGAGGGGAGGGGTCCCCCAGCAGCCAATCGCCTCTCCTGGAAGTGCCAGCAGCAAACCAGAAACCAGAAGTGCTGCCAGAAAAACCAGAAGAGCCACTGGCACTCCTTGAGGGGGCACTGGCCGGCCCTCCCCACTCTCCGGCTGGTGAGGGCCAATTTCAGGGGAACCTGAGCTTGCAGCGGGCAGCCTGCACCTGCCCCCACCACAGGGACAACTCTGGCTGTGCCACCCGTCTGTTGGGGAATGGGAGCCAGGCGATCACGGCCACAGTCACTCCAGGCGCCAGGAGCAACGCTCAGGTCTCCCCCAGCAGGAGTCATTATACGATCATAGCCCTGCTGCACCTGGGCTGGGCGCAGGTGCGCTAAATTGCACAACGAGGCTGCGCACCACCAATGCACTGTGGCACTAGTGTACACTCCCTGCTCAATGCCTGTAAGCATTATAATGAAACTCGCTGAGCACTAGGTGGAATCACGTATGAATGTAAAATGAGCGTTACAGTGAAATAGTGCTAAGTGAAACAGCATTAAGCAGGGGTTGCCTGTATAGTGGCGTTTCATTTTAACTGAGAAAAAGCATGCATTTGGGGGTTTTAATCAGAGGATTTGTGATTTTTAAACAAAGAAAACCATAATCCCTGCTCATAATACAGCTTTTAAAATGATGATTCACAAGCACAAGATAAACCAGAACTCAGAAGGGAAAACGAAAAGACAAACAGCAGACACAAAGTAACCCAGAGTCCATGGCATGATGGAGATATTAAGGGAGGTTATGTAGAGTTCCTGAAATGGAGGGAAAGGGACAACTGACACACAGGGAGCAAACAGAGGGGAATGCAGGAGAGCAAGCAGCCCCTAGTGTATGCAATGTTGCTTCTGTAAGCAAAGTGCACAACTTTCTAGTGCAGTCGTCCTCAGCCTTTTCAGACTCAAGATACCCCTCATTAGACTGAAGGTACCCATTAGAAAATGCTAACTCTTAACTTTCATTTGTTATTGACGATGGAAAAATAACAGAACAATTTTTGTATTGCAAAGATATTAGAAAGACCACCATGGGTCATAATGTTTTTAAGACTATGAATTCCTATTTGAAATCTCTGGGTTTCTCTTGTGAATCATGTTTGTACACCAAACTACTAACACTGTGCAGCACCTTGGAACGAATATCAAGGCAACCCCTTAGGATGCTGCAGCACTTTGGTTGAGAATCACTGCTTTAGTAACATTCTATCAACATAGATTTTGGTTTAATCTTCTACATATTTCTACTATTAAATAAAATAGTCCATCTTGCATTAGAAAAATACTTTTAGATTAAATGCAACATAAATATGCAAGAGTGGTGGAAAGTATGCTCAAGCCTACACACCCAGGCAAGCACTTGCTTATATTTGGTGATAAATAGATCAAAGAGCTAAGAAGGTATATTCAAGCCCACACAGATGAGCACAAACAAAAAAGCACCTGTCAGCCCTAGTGATAGAATGAGGAACTGAATGGGTTTGATTTAAAAAAAAGCCTTCCCACATTTTCACAGCAATCACAGGAATTTAGCTCCTGAACTACAAGGTCTGCCTTAGTGTAACATGATCATTTCAAACATCAGAACTGATTCATATCATTCTAGATCAACAACTTAAAAATCAATTTTTAATTTAGCAGCATTTACCACTGCAAAATTTCAATACATTATTGTAAAATGCTGAATGTTTAGCTTGCACAAGAATCAAGTTTTATGACTGAGAATAGTTCACCTAAAGGTTATAGTAGCAAAAGTTTTAAAACAAAACTCTCTCAATACTCAACATTTTATGAGCATTTTTCCCTCTGTGGAATTATAACTTGTTACCAAATAGTAAGTATAATCTTATTATATATTTTTTTAAATAAAGCCTTTTCTCCTGATCAGTTATTTTGCCTTACAGTCCTAATATTAATACAATGTGAAATATAGATGAAATAAATTAAATCTTACCATGTTTTTCTGTCCATTGAAAGTTCCATTATCATGCGCCTAAAAATACTCAGAACTGCTTTGCAAGCATCAACTTGCTCCTTTAAGAGTGCAGGGACTTCAGCACATGGTTCCAATAAAAAAACATTTGCAGAATTGGTCAAAAACACCTTGAAAGAAAAGCATTTTAATTAGAAAAAAATTCAGTGCCACACAAGACTAACAGCCAAATTCTGCAACAGCCATTTTGTCCTCTTCTAACTGAACCTTACCTTTCTTTAGAGTAAGTTGTGTTACTTTTTTTTTTTTTTAATCTATCACTATTTTCTTTGCTCTTCCACACAATTCCACAAAAGAAGAGAGTTAAGTTTCACCCACTTTAATAATAAAAACATAATACATATTCTGTTTGTTTTCACTGTTACAATAAAATGGAATATTTTCAGGATCTTTTGAATGTTTGTTTTTGCCCCCTTTTTGCCAGGGAGTTGAAAGGGAAAGAACATCCCCTATTTTCTAGCTGAACATATCGAAACAGTAGTTCTACTTTTGAAAATTTACATTTAGCACAGGCAATCCCATAGCTTCAAACAATTCCCATCTCTGTAAGTATGCAAATAGTGTCTAATATGTCTGGCTTTCCAAGTCAGGAGCACAGTTTAATATGCATTTAAAGAAATACAGCAGAACTTAAAAGTTGTCCAAAAGGAAACTCATTAGAAGGTTCAACTGCACTAACAGTTGCTTCAGATGGCAAAAAGAAAAAGGCCTTTATCCATTCTTTACTTAAAAAGCAAATCTTGAATCAGTGCTTACATAACCCGGCAGAACTCCATTTTTAGCACAGCAAAAGGAAGTATAGAGTGCTTTCTGGCGTATAGAAGCATTTTGACCACTTTACCTGAATGTCCTCTTAAAGGGCCCAATTGTACAGCTATCACATTAATAGGAGGACTCCTGCTGTCTTTAATGTAAGTTGGAGGGCCCTTAACTAGGATAATTTTCTCAAAAGCCAGCCCATCAAGGACAAAATTTTGAAACTGGAACAGCAGCTTGTTAAGAGAAAAGGTCTTTGCTAACAGACTACTTGAGTAGATGGCTTATCACTAGGTTCACAGAATGGGATAACCCTGGCTAACCCCTAGTACTCAGGATTAGTATATAATTTAGTCCCTTTTTAATGAAATTTAGGATGGGGAGGGGGTAGAGGGAATAGTAAAGGTAGAAACCAAATTATGCTGCTCCATGATCCTTAGACTATTTTTAATCCAAATTTTGGATTAGAACTGCAGAGAATTATTTAGTAGCCCTAAGAATCGGTAAAAACTAAAAAACAAGCTCTCAGTTAAAAGCTGTCTTTTCTTTTTAAACCAGATGTGCATTTTACCTTCTCAGACAGGCTGCTGATGTGTGCAGAAAATCATCTCCTGATTGGTGACACTGCATGCAGATTTGTCTTTAAAGTTTAGATAGCTAGTTTTGTGAATTTCCTCTGCCATATTTGTTTCTTGAGTGACCATGTTGACTTTAGATATACTAGTAATATATGCCTGACTGAATGTTATGCTTTCCCTATCAAGTATTTCTGCAAAGACATGAGAAAAAAACACTTCATATTTGATCAACAGTTACTTCTTTTCAATGTTAATACAAAGTCCCCAGTTCACATATATTGCTCCTGTTAATCCTGCCTGCACAAGTGACTGACTACTTGGTGTTCATTCAGTTATCCAGTAAGACATGCAGACTGAACAAGAAGAGTTTAGAATCAAATGAGGTGAATAGCCTGAGCTCTTTGGATCTATACAACTCAGGCTATTCAAAGTTGTAGAGACAAAAATAATTGTAATCTTTCTTTCAGCTGCTTCTGCTACTTAGAAGTTATGGCCCATGCTGGCTATCCTACTAAAGATTATTTTAGGCTTAAGACCGCAAGGGATTCTACTGTGGATGTCCTCTGACTAAATCAGCAATGGTATGTGTTTCCTACCTGCCGGCAAGGAGCATCTTCTTGTTCAAAATGAGATGCAAATAAATCTGTACCTTTGAATTAAACCTATTTGCTGCTTTTCTTTTTTTTTTTTTTACATGTAATTTTATCACTAGTCCATCATATTATAGAATGCCATAGATGGAAAATTGCAACTGCTATAATAAAGTGTAAGAGCAAATTTTATTTTTGTTCCAACTTAGTGAATGAAATTTTTACATAAATAGCCATTTTAACCTTAATTATAAAATCTATACAATACAAAAGTATAACAACTTAGGTAAACAAGTAATGTATGTCACCGTCACCTTTTGCCAACTCCTTGTTTGGACACTCTTGGCATGTGGCAGCTCACTCTACTTTGAAAAAGGAGGAAGCCCCCTTGAACTTAGTACACAGTGACAGTGTCCATGTAGCAGCTTATATAGAATGGCTAATGCACTGTCAGTTCACTCCCTAGCTTACCGTACAGCAGTTTCTCTATGTAGAGAAATGCTAAGATAAAGAGCTCAGAAGGAAACATTTACACTTAATTCACAACCATTTCACCTTATTTTTAAGATACAGAAGTATTGACGTTTCAGCTACTGCCATTCTCAAATTTTTGTTGTCAGGTATCATTATAGCTACTTACATAAGCATGCATTTAGACAGTTTACAGCGGAAGCAATTAAAATCAGGATTGAAATCTCAATTTTTTATAACTCTGGTTTTAAAAACACCTTACCCCAAAGCTGTAAGCAGTTACTCTTTATTAAATTCTCTTTAGGTACCATGACTGAAGTGCCATTTTGCCTGTCTTGAGTTACCCACTTAACCAGGGGTTGGGGGAAATGTGGTCTTTTTTTTGTTTTGAATAGGAGGTAAAGAAACTGTTTTTACCCTATAAAAGCCCAGATGTCTTCAGAGATTTTGTTGCAACTTTTCCTTGAGATATCTATCCGAGCAAAGTTATAGGTCTGTGAAAATTGACTTAGAATGGAAATGGTCTTGCATGCTTAGACAAGTGGAAAACCTAAATATGTTTCTATTTTCTTATACAGGCCTCTTCTGCTAGGGTTACCATATATCTGGGTTTTCCAGGACCTCTTTCTGGGTCCTCAGATCTCCATCCAGGCATTTTTTTAAAACCTGAACAAATGTACAGGATTTTGCTCTGCTCCACTGGTGGGAGCAGAGGGAGGGCAAGTGGAGGCAGGGGGCACCATGTGAATCTGCATGAGCACACACACATGGCTGGCATGCAGCCTGGCAGGGTGGTGGGAACAGCCTTGGCAGCTGGATGCAGGTAAGTTGATGGGGAGCAGGGGCTGGAGGGCCAGGGCATGTGAGGGAGGCAGATGCCTGCCTGCGCTGGGGGATGGAGTCCAGATGCTAAGGCTGTGGCATGTCACAGGGGCAGGGGGAGGGAGGGTCCTTTGGGGGCAGTGGGGAGCTGCGCAGCCAGACTAGTGGCACCAGGAGCCAGGGCCTGTGGTCACAGAGGCAGGGCACCCGGGAGACACAGCCCGGGAGAGGGTGTAGTCATGCTGCCTGGTGCCAAAGGCCTCTCCTCCTCCTCCCTGCAGCCCGCACCAGGGCTGGGCTCATTCCACCGCCACCCGCATGTCAGAGCCATTACAGCCACTGCATTGCAGCATGGTTGGGATGGGGCAGTTGGATGCGCCCTCCAGCAGGGCTGGAGGGAACAGGGGGTTTTGGGTCAGGAGTGAGGGGCACCAGCAGGACTGGGGAGCCTGTGGCTTGGGAGAGGGGCACTGGCAGTGCCAGGGGGCTATGGGTTGAACCTGAGGGACACCAGCCCTGGGGGTGAGGGACTGTGGATCAGGAGTGAGGGGTACTGGCAGGGCCAGCAGTCTGTGGGTTGGGAATGAGGGGCAGCAGCAGAGATGGGGCTGCAGGTGGGGAGTGAGGTGTCCCCATAACAGGTGTCCTCTTTTTTGGAATTGGAAATATGGTAACCCTTCCTTCTGCCAACTTCCAAACAGCTTATGGGAATTGTTGAAGTTCTTGTTAAAACCACAGGCTTTTTCTGAATACCATACCTGTAACGCAGCCTGTGCCCCAGCTTTCACATTCTTGTCTTCATCTTCTAATATACATCCTCTACTAACAGCACTAGTGAAGGAATACGTTCTTCCCCAGCTGGAAGTTCTTTTATGTCCAGAATGTTCAGTGGCAAACTTTCAAAAACAAAAAAGTCAATTTATTAATAGGGATATATCTTTCATTAGCCTTTATGTTTACATATAGAACATGCAAATGCTATGGGGAGGGAAACAGAACAATGACACAGGTTCCATGCTTAATTTGGAAATAAATTTGTGCCCATTAATCAATGTGTTCTTTTATTCAAATATTTACATCATATTATATTTAAAGGCTCATAAAACGTTTAAGGGCTGTTCACCTTAAATTCAGAGTCAATATTTTGGCTCTCTATAAAACAGTATAAAAACTGGCACTGCAATTTTTTTTTTTTAAATATCTGCAATCTTTTTTGCCAGTATGAAGAAATGCCCTTTTAAATAATTTCACACCTCAGAGAAATGGTCAAATACAGTTGGGATATATTCCTGGTTCAATATATGAAAAAGGTCCAAGGCACAAAGTTCAGATCTGCATCTGAACTTCCTAATATTCAAGATGCCTGGATCCATGTTTTTGCTCTAATTCAGAACACTGACAGAAATTTGAAAATGGAAGTTGGCATTTATCTCGATATTATAACACATTTATGTTTCAAATATATGCAACTTAAATATTGCCATTTTATACCCAAACTGAAATATTACTGCCAGAAGGAAATATCACTCTATACAGTGAGCTCTACTTTGGTAGAACTCACAATTTAATATTGTAAAATGTAAATTATTTGTTTAATTAAGCCTATCTTATGGTATTTACATGGAAACAAAAGGAAGATAAGAGATCATGTTTTTGAAAAGGGATCGGCATCCAGAATCTCCCATTCCCAGGAGTGGGCATTATGAGACTTGGCACTTTTTAAAATACAGATTTAGAGAAGGAAAAGGTAAACAGGCAAATAAGTATCAGTTTAGTTACAAAAAGATTTTACAAAGCAATATTTAATAAAAGATAAACATTATTCCGCCTGCTTGTATTAAATAACAACTGGTACCATACATGTTTGCTATCTGTCTGTGTTTCTGAATGCTCCAAGGTAGTCAAATCATCTGGACTGTTTTCTTTTTTATCTGGTTCTTCCATAAACACAGGTTTCTCTTGCAATATCCATTTTCTGTATACCTTCACTACTTTTCGTGTTGCAGATATATCAGAAGAAGGTAATAAAAAAGCCTAAAATGCAAAGTTAACTGAGTTTATCTATTTATAGTATCTTATAAATTAAACAGTCCAAAAGAAAATAGCTTAACTTAGAATCTTTAACTTTTAAATTGCTACTACAAAGAATTACAATTATCACCTATATATATGAAAGCAGATTAAAATGCCATTGCAGCGGTCTATGACCATTAAAACTGATTTTCATACCACATTTGCTCAGACTGCAAGTAAAAAAAAAAAATTTTTTTTCTTATTGCCAGCTCAACAAATTCACCCTTGGTTCTTTTTCCATCTCACACATCATTATCAGTGATCAAAGGCCTGCAGGTTAAATTACGCCCTCAGCTACTCCACCCATGCAACCCTACGGACATCAGATTATGTTCTTAGGGCCATACATAAAAACCTGTTTCAGGCAAGTGCAGTTAATTTGCACAATGGTAAGAGTTAAATGGAAAGAATGGAAGAACAGCAGTTATATGTAAGTTCTATTAAACTTTCTGGAATCCAATGGAAGAAATTATTTCTGCACACTTTGTAAAGTCTGTTTTTGGGAGCCCTTCTATAAAAACCTCCCCTTTCAGAGCCTTGGGTGGCAAGCCTGAGCCCTCCCCCCTGCCCTGCAATTTCAGGGACTGATAGACACCTAATAAAATCTGAGTACACCTGTTGGCCTTTTCCAAAATTTTAAAGCCAGGTCATGGGAAACTGACTTATCTACTAAAATACAAGAGTGACATCCCCCATCACAGGTCAGTGTAAGGCTCAGGGACCAGGCAAGCTTCAAAGCATGCGTTTTCAAGCAGAAGTCTATTTATAGATTCATAGATTGTTAGGGGCTTGAAGGGACCTTGTAGATCATTGGGTCCAGTCCCCCTGCACTAGGCAGGAAAAGACAACTGGGGCCAAGGGACCCCAGGAAGGCAAATGTCCAGTCTCCTTTTGAAGATTTCCAGGGTAGGTGACTGCACCATCACTGGAGGGAGTTTATTTCATAGTATGGACACCCTGACTGTGAAGGAGTTTTTCTTGGAATTGAGCCTGAAGCAGCCTTCCAGGAATTGCTCCTGGTCTTCCCCATGGGTGCCCTGGTGAACAGCTATTCACCAAGTCCTTGATGTGTTCCCTTGATGTAGCGGTAAGCTGCTACCAAGTCCCCTTCTTGCTACCAAGTCCCCTAGCCTATAATTCTTATCCAAGGAAAGGTGTCTTATTTTGAATGAAGTCATTTTGTTATAGGTACTGAAAGGGACCTGTAGGTTTAGAGATGAAACTTTCTGGAAATTTTGAAGCCATGGAAAAAAACTGATTTTCTTCTGGTTTTTTCCCCCCCGGGAAAAAACAGAAATTTGGGGGAAAATTGAAATATATGCAATACTTATTTTCTTAGCACCCTTTACAGATCTAAATTCACTTTGCTACTTTAAGAACATAAAATGTATTATGTGTAACTTGGTTTGCTCATATAATTATCATGTTTGATAGAGATATATATATATAATGCATATATATAATGCATCATGTTTGATATATTTATTAAATTTTAAAGTATTGTTTTGCCTACAATAATTACAATTTGCTAATTTAATTTAATTTAAAATATTTTAAAATTTTGTTACAGATGGAGCTACAAGCTGCTGAACTCTAAGGAACCTAGCATCTCTTAGTTTTTGCCAGTTTGTGAGAAGCAGGTAAAAATTAAAGTTGAAAACAGACGAAACCATCATCGTTATAGTAAAACAAAGAAAATTATTATTCCAGTATTCTGGACTTAGTCTCCTCCACAGCATCAAGCAGATACAGAAAGCACTCATGTTTAGAAACAGCTGAGAAAAAAAGGAAGCCCCCACCCCAAGCCTCACTGAATACAAATTTTGCTCTGTGAAACTTTTCTAATCAGTCTTTTTCTGAGCTATCACTATCAGCAGTTTCTGCTTCTTCTGATTCTTCATGGACTTCTGAAAACTGAAGGTTTGCCTGGATTAAGACAAGCTTCTCTACTCTTTCACATATTAGTTTATTTCTTGATTTGGTGAGAATATTTCCAAACATAGACCAGTTTCTTCCACATGCTACAGAAGATGGAGGAATCTGAAGCAGGCAAGAAGCAAGAGGAGTCAGAGGCTGTTATGCAAAGGCCTTGGCACCATGCTGCAGGGGGAATATGCTTGACAGTCTCAGACTGCATTCCTGGACCAAATACCTGAAGATGTTCTGTATTCTGCAACATTTGAAAATACCTTTCCAACATCTAGTCCTAAGTATTGCTTGATTTGTAATCCAGTCAAATGCAGTGGCAGTGCTATCATCACTAACATATCTGCCTTTGAATCTTGGATCCAAGAGATTTGCAGCAGCATGAATTGATTGGCAACAAAATTCTTCCTGTCTGTTAATAAAGTCTTTCAACTTTTATTTCATCTGTACTTGTAAGCGGAGATGCACTTAGATTCTCAAAAACAGTTGATTTTATCTGGGCCATGTGGTAAGGAATGTCTGACAAAAGTGCACTGTCTGATTCAGACGCAGTGACTGGTGAAGAAAATCTTCAGGGAGGTCTGCAGCTGCACCCAGAAGACATCCTCATCAAGTACAGTGTTCCTTACACTTCTGGGTACTTTAAGATCCTCAATTGTTACTGTTTCTTGGAGAGCTTCTTTGTTTTTTAGTAAAACTTTCAAATGAGATCACCACTCCACCCCATCTAGTTTAACTAGAGTTTGAGTGTCACTATTTTATTCTTTGCATTATTTTCTTCCTGTTTCTTCTTAAAGACTGTAGCCACAATATGAATAGCTTTTACAAGTTTTATAACTTCTTTTGCTCTTCAATAGATCTTTTGCCGAGTGTCCAACTTCATGATGTCATTAAGAAGCAAGTTTAGCCCATGGGATGCACATCCTATTGCAGTAGTATGTGGATATTTATCCATTATGATCTCCCATGCTGTTTTCATGTTACTTGCATTGTCAGTCAACAAAGCAAATAGTTTACCGCTCCCAATCTTCTGTAGGACTTCATATATTTT